AGTAAAGATGGTGATAAAGAAAGTGGATATCACATATGTTTAGGGGTAAAGCTTACAGAACTTGGTGGTTAATCAGTATGAGCTGGAATCTGTAAAAACACGTAGAGGAGGTAAATATTAGAAAGCAAATTTGTCTTTGGAGTAGAGATGACATTGTCAAGAAAGAAAGAGTCATAATTTGTTTTATGGGGTTGCTTTACCTTGGGCAAAGGATGAGAAATGGTTCTTTAAAAAAAGAATCCCCTTTGCATTTCTAAAAGACCTCTTGTTTGGGGTTTTATTTATTTATTTATTTATTTATTTATTTTTAAGCAATTAGAGTAAAAGTCCTCTTATATTAGAATACCGTTAGGCTTAACTAGGAGGGTCAAAAGACATAATTAGTATAATGTGCCCGTGCCCTGTATAGCACCTTCTTTTGCCTGATGTCTCCAATATCTTTCTTCCTGTTAGCAGAAGGAGGCTCAGCAGAGGACCAAGTTTACATACACACTGAGTCATTGGTGGGTAAAGCTTCTAATAGGGCCCAGGCTTTTCAGCTTTGTGTCATACTGAGAATATGTCAGTCAGGCTTTGTGTAGTTATGGCTTTTTCAGGGTGTACTCTGCAACCAAGCCTCAGGAAATCACGTGACACTTATGCTCAAGTGTTATTCAACACTATTCATGTATTATAGGGATTATAATGATGAGTTGAGATAGGAGCTCTCCAAGTTATTTACAGTAGAATGTAAAGTGATTATGATATAAGGCAGAGTCTGGTTTGAGCTTTAAGATGGTTATATAGTACAGAGAGTCAAGGGAGCATATCAGTCGCATCTAGAACAACCTTGTCAGTGAAGTGGCAGTTAACTAAATTGCTTTTCTAATGCTACTTCAATATATTCAAATGAATAAAAATATTAATATACGATCACATTATATTTTTATACAACTCTAAATTTTTTCAATGTGTTATGTACAGGCGTGTCCCAAAAGAATGTCTACTCACTTTAACAGCTGATAGCTCAGTTTTGAAAATGAAATGTATTTTAATAAACACTGCCTTTATAATTATTCAAAGTGTGTGTATACATTTTTGGGGGAACACCCTATATTAGATACAAATGAAACTGCAGAATCAAGAAAAATTCAATTTACAGCATTAACGTGATGGATGGTTCCATACTACTGAAATAAAACCCCTGCTTACAGTGTAAATTTCTATAGTTGAGCGTTTTAAAGTGAGGGTTTTGAGGCCAGGCAGCTTGAGTTTGAATCCTGATTTTGTTGCTCCCATTGTATATGCCCCTGCACAAGTTGTATAGCCTCTCTAGTTTTATCAATAAAATGGGGCTCCTAGCTTATGGGACTGTTGTGAAGACTGAATAAATTCGTACACGTAAAATGAATGGACAGCTCCAGAGATGATGATAAATATGCAGTGGTTCCTGGCGATTATTACTGACTACTGTGGCAAAGATTATTTTGAACTCAGTATATATTTTTAAATCCTCATCTGAGGATATGTTTTTATTGATTTTTTTTTTTTTTTCAGAGAGAGAGAGAGAGAGAGAGAGGGAGAAAGAGAGAGAGAAACATCGATGTGGGAGAGAAACTTTGATCAGTTGCCTCCAATATGCACCCTGACTGGGGATCAAACCTGCAACCTAGGTATGTAGGACAACACTCCAGCCAACAGCCACCCAGCCAGGGTTGAACTCAGTATTCTTGCCGTTGAATGTCATATAGTTCTCTCACTTGCATTCATATTACTATGAAACTTGTCTCTGATATTGAGCTATGACATATCTGGCACTTTGTTAACAGAACTGCATCATTAACTTATTTGTCTATCTCTGAGAGAAAGTAAATAAATACCTATTTCTTTAAATACCAATTTCTTTAAATACAGTTATCATATGGGCTAAATTAGGTAAGTGAGTATTCTCACTGCNAGAAATACAGTTATCATATGGGCTAAATTAGGTAAGTGAGTATTCTCACTGCAGCAATCTCACACCTATTCTCTCCCCAGGAATTAACTTAAAAATCAAGTCATTGAGAATGACTCAATTCAGAAAACTTGAAGTTCTTTCCCTGTGGCATATCTACAAAAAAAAAACAACAAAAAAATGGGTGTGGCTCAGCGGTTGAGCATCGACCTAGGATCCAGGAGATCTTGGTTCGATTCCTGGTCAGGGCACATGCCCAGGTTTCCGCTCAATCCCCANCATGCCCAGGTTTCGGCTCAATCCCCAGTGGGGGACGTGCAGGAGGCAACCAATCAATGACTCTCTCTCATCGTTGATGTTTCTATCTATCTCTCCCTCTCTCTTCTTCTCTCTGAAATCAATAAAGATNTCCGCTCAATCCCCAGTGGGGGACGTGCAGGAGGCAACCAATCAATGACTCTCTCTCATCGTTGATGTTTCTATCTCTCTCTCCCTCTCTCTTCTTCTCTCTGAAATCAATAAAGATGTATATTTTTTTAAAAGATCCTTTCCCTGCCTATTAATTTTTATTTTAAAAAAATTATGTGATCAGAACATGGTTTGGTAGCATGAAATCAAAGTTCATCAATTTAGAAAATCTTGTATTCATTTCTATACTATGGGTACCAGGTCTGATTTTATTTAAGATCAATCTTGGAAGANTAAAAAAATGATGTGATCAGAACATGGTTTGGTAGCATGAAATCAAAGTCCATCAATTTAGAAAATCTTGTATTCATTTCTATACTATGGGTACCAGGTCTGATTTTATTTAAGATCAATCTTGGAAGATAAATAGAATTGTTTTAAAGGAAAGGGTATTCAGATGGTGGATATAGCTTAAGCACAGGTATGAAAGTAAGAATATATGTTTTTTGTCTCGGGGTCAATAAGTTATGTGATTTAGCTAAAGCAAAGGATATGTGAAAGGGAGTAATGAGAGGTTAAATTAGGAAAGTAGATTCCAGCCATTTCCTGGAGGACTTTGCATATCAGAATGAGAAATCAGGCATGTACTCTCCCCTCCCCTGTTCCTACTTCTGTTTTTGTTTTTGAGCCATAAAGTGGTATAAACAGAATTGTGCTTTAGAAAGATTGGTCTGGAGACATAGTGTTTGAATAGGGTGGTATGGGGGAGTACCCAGAGAAAAGTAAATCAGAAAGAAGATTACAATAGTTCAACTAAAAGTATCCACAGCCTAAAGAGAGAGGTAATAGAAAGAAAATAATAGCATATGAGGAATGTCATTATGTTAGACTATAGGATTTTGCAATATATTATATGTGAATATTGACAGAATGGGGAGAGTTTAAAACTATTATCAAAATTTTAGCCTGAAGGGATGGTAGTGGCAATAAGAAGGAAGTTGGGATAGTCTGGTTTTGTGGAAAGTAATAAAGAGGCCTTGGAAGTGTTGAATTGGGGCCTAGCAGAATATCGAAGTACAGGTACCCAACAGGAAATTAGGTAAATCTGGAAGTAGAAGTAGGGATACAAATTTGGGGGTTGTCTTGAAGATTACAGTTGACCTTGTGAAAGATCACATGGGAGAAAAAGTAAGATGACAAGAGACAGCTGGCACAGGAATATTAAGAGGGAAGGAAGAGGAAAGGAATTAGGAAGGGAATAGTAAAGAACCAAGAGAGCCAAGTATTCATAACCGACAGGGGAGAGCTGCAGAATGGGGAGGTGGTCTGGAGCCTGCAAAGGGGGCTGTAGGATTTGATTATTGGATTTCACTGCATAACGTTGAAGCCCAAGGCTTATGCCAAGTGGTGACTAATGTGGAGTAGAAGTAATTAGTAGTAGTAGGAACTATTAATTTGGGAAGGCCAAACTGTTGGTAGATGAATTCACCAAGGATATTGGCAGGAGATAGAGTGGAAGGACTACGACAAACCCCTAGGAGAAGGAACACTGTCAAGGAAGACAGAGGGTTCAAAAAGTCAATGACTTGGGCTTCCACTGAGCAGAGAAGAGTCGGTGAGTCAAAGTGGAGGAGTAGTGCAGAAAGAATGATAAAATGCAGGGCACTTTCAGCTTCCTTCCGGTGTTTAAAAACCCTAATCCTAGCTTCTACACTTACTATGTCTTTGGGTAAATTACCTAACCTTGCTAAGCTTCAGTTTCTTCATCTGTGAAAACAAGATAAAAATAGTGTCTGCCTGATAGGATTATTGTGAGAATTAAATTAGATAATTCATAATGTAAAGCATGTAGCACAGAGCCTGCCGAGTAAACATGTTAGATAGATGTTTTTGCTGCTGCTGCTGTTGGTGACATTGACATGTGTAACGGATAGGTAGTTCTTGCATAAAGTGGGCTGTGCTGTGTCACTGAGTGCAGCATAGGATAGATAGCACTGTAGCCAGTGTCACTCCTGACACTAAAAAGTATTAATACCAGTGGTTCTTCACATCTCTCACCTCTAAGTGGTAAGACTGACCTACCCAGAAGCATGCTTGTATTATCACAGAAACATGTTTTTTGGTAAACTTGAGGAGGATAGGAGTGTTAATGGGAGCAAGGGAAATTGTTCACAATAGAACAAGACCAACAGAATGGGCCAGTAGATTTGTACCACACCAAAATAAATTGTGGGAGAGTTTCATATAATTATATTTCTGGAGTTGAAGGTGGCAATACCAGGGATTAGAAATAAACCTGGAAGACCATGCTAGCTGTAGAAAGCTAGGCCGATGCTTATGGAAAACATACAAATACAGCAAAAAGAATTCCAGGTGTCCAAATGAGACAGGCCATAAGAGCTAAGATGAAAGGGAGACTACCTTTTTTTTTTTTTAAGTTAAGTGATCTTCACATGGCCCATGGAACTTCAATTTTAGGAATACATAGCTTTGAAAAAAGTCATGCTGAGTTCTAAGGGACTTTACCCATTCTCCTAACCCTTGGAATTTGCTCTTGTAGGAGTTTGTTTTTTAAATGTTTGGTCACACGAAAGTAAATCTTTGACTTCAGAGAGTTTACATTCTACCACTTACTACTTTTTCTTGCTGTTTTCCACAGGTAAATGGCCAAGACCTAAAGAACCTGCTGCACCAGGATGCTGTAAACCTCTTTCGTAACGCAGGCTATGCCGTGTCCCTGAGAGTGCAGCACAGGGTAGGTGTCGTGTAGGTGTCGTGTTATTTGCTGCTAGGAACCTGGCACCAGGCTTTTGTACCTTTCTTGTGAATAAACCCTGTGATGTAATCTTCAGTGGTGTGTTTGGCTTTTTTTCCTTTCGCTCCCATTCTTTTTTTTCTTGTTAATCCTTACCCGAGGATATTTTTTCCAGTGCTTTTCAGAGAGAGAGTGGGAAGGAGGGAGGGAAGGAGGGAGGGAGGGAGGGGGGAGAGAGGGACATCGATTGGTTGTCTCCCACACGCACTCCGACTGGGGGCAGGGAGCGAACCCACAACCCAGGTATGTGCCCTTGACCGGGAATTGAACCCTCTACCCTTCGGTGTGCAGGCCGACACTAACCACTGGGCCACACAGGCCAGGGCCACTCCCGCTCTTTTGAACAGCTTGTGTGGCAAGGGTCTTCTGGAACTCTGCTTATCATCAAAGGAAATTCATCACAGTATCTTTTGCAACCCAGGTCCTAGCTTCAAGGTAATGTACCTTAAAGATAAAACTTGACAACCAAATTGAAATAAATGGGGGAAAAATACCACCACAATCAATTTTTCAGTAGAGAAGGAAAACATATGTCTGCCATTGAACATTCTTGTTTATAAAACTCTAAGTACAAAGATGGTGGGCTTTCTCATGCCTACTCACTGTGTGCTTTTCCCTTTCACCTCCACGAACCATTTACTTATCAGTTTGGTGACGCTCCTGACCAAAGCCCTGATGCTCAAAGGTGAGCTCCAGGAGAACGGAAAATGGAATTCAGGATTCAGTCAAGGCAGCACCTATCCCTGTATCCACTTCTTAGGTCAGGTGTCTTATAATTTGAATGATGGAAAGAGAAGCCTATAGACATAATTCCTCCCATAGCAAGGATTTTGGGGGCATTTGCAACACAGGTTCAAGGTGTCTTTAAAGTTATTTCCTCTTAACTTGATGCCTGGATGTGATTTCTTTTTACTGACTTACCTCTGAATCTGTTTACCTCCATTCCATACAGATTTCACCTTTGTCCATGTCCAGTGTTACACAATAGGGGATGAAGGACACAACCGCATCTTAGAAGGGAGTGGGTGCCTTTTGAGAATTGTAAAGCATTTCCAAATAATGGCATTACACCGATGTGCAACTTACGGTTAGATAACAGATCATTTAAATAACATCGCTCAGATCTGCTCTTATTGTACTCTAATGACTGATAATCTTTCTAAGTAAACGTTCTAGGAAGATGGACGTCCCCCCTCATCCCGCCCAATAATTTTCAGGTTTCTTATAGGATCGATGGACTTCATTTCATATCTTCATTTCCCGATATGATACACGTAGAACTTGGTGGAAGCAGTACAAAAGCAGAAAGGTGTTATCTGATTTACCTTCAGGGTTCCGTTAGGTCAGTAGCACAGCAAAGTCAGATGCCTCCCCATAAGACTTATTTTGTTTCCAAAAAATTGGTGACATTGATGTATCAAGTAAGAACAAACGGAGAGGACACCTTCTGCTAGGTAGTGCCTGGATTTGCAGCTTTGGGTCTAGAGACTGTAGACCCAAGTAATGTGTCAACCCAGATATTTCAGTTGNCTCTGCTAGGTAGTGCCTGGATTTGCAGCTTTGGGTAGTCTAGAGACTGTAGACCCAAGTAATGTGTCAACCCAGATATTTCAGTTGTTGTAAACACACATTGGTCACTAGAGTTAACATTTCTCTTTCCCTTCCAGTTACAGGTGCAAAATGGGCCTATAGGACATCGAGGTGAAGGGGAGCCGAGTGGTATTCCCATACCTATGGTGCTGGTGCCATTGTTTGCCCTCGCCATGGTAGCAGCCTGGGCCTTCATGAGATACCGGCAACAGCTCTGAAAAGCTTGCTTTCTCCCAGTGCTCCTGATGAGGAGAACATTTCTTCCTTTCTCTCATCCTCCCTGCCATTCTCCCATATCTTTCCCTCACTTTGCATAGCTCACACATGATTTAAAGAGACTGCTTCCCAGCCTAGAACCTTGCTGTTCAAAATCTCCAAGTCCTCGTTTTCTAATGGGAGAGGAAAGGCATTGTTTGAAGGAAAGCTGAAGAAAAGACTTGCTTAGAACAAATGAGGAGTTGGACATTTTACTAGGACCGCCAGTAGAAGTTCAGCTACAGCCAAAGAGGGAAAAGTCCAGTCTTCCCGTCACCATGGTGATACCTATTTTCTTAGCTGGCATGCTGCAAAGGCCAGCGGTGTGATATAAGAGGAAGAGAGGATTTTTCTTTTTAATGATCTTCCTTGGGAAGTTTTTGTGGTCTTTATTTACTTTCTGACAACATACTTGGGTGCCTGTATCAAACAAAACATAATGAGGAGACCATTTTTACTTTTTAAAAAACAAATATATATCTACACATGTATACACATATATGCATAAATGATAGTATAACAGTGATGCCTTATGGAGAGGTAAAGAGGTAGAAAGCTGCCCTGGTTTCTAGGTTCCTGATGTAAGGGATGATCTTAATTGAGGGAGTGAGAGAGAGCCTGACAGGATGCCCAATCTGAGTCATTAAAAAAAAAAACAAAAAACAAAAAACTAAAGCAACTAATTTAAAATCTTAGAATTCTTATTTTTCTCATAATAATTAAGGTGAAATTGAGGCAAAATTCCATAATCCAGCTTTGCGCATGTCAATCTGTTCGAAAACCTTTGAGATTTAAAGATAAATCTTGCCAATCTGTGGTCTGCCCTAGTGACTTTTTTGATACCTCACAGTCCTGTGAAAGTATCAGCTGGAATGATTGTGGTCAGAGCACTAGTGATGGGGCCAAACCAACCGAAAGAAAAAACTCTAAAAAGAAAGAAGATAGTGCCTCCAAGGTGGTGCCCGAGCGCTCAGGCTATCAACCAGTCTTTCCGGTTTCTAGTAACAGGCAAATCTTAGCGAAGGAACTGCTCCTGGGCAGCATGGGCATGAAGCCAGCCGTGCTTCTGATTCAGTTCAGTTTAGAGGGTTTGGATTGCTAGTTGTTGTTTTTTTAAAAAAAGTTCTTAACACTGGGCTTTTAATGAATGAACAATTTTGTGGGGAAGGGAAGAAAAGGTTTGTTTGTTTAGGAGGGAGGGAAGCTCCGTAGGGAAACCTTGAGGGAAGGATGCGGAGGAATGGATGCTGGGGAATACTAAGGCTAATAATAAGGTAGGGACATCCTGGTTATGTGCTGCTGAAGGGTGGTTTTAAAGCACTCAGGAGAGCTGGCCCAAGGCTAATTTCCTGGCTTCAAGAAAATCATTTCCATAGTCCAAATATACCGGCTAGACCATCGGCCTTATGCATACAATCTTGACAACAAGAGTATGAGGACTTTCCCTCGGATGATCAGTTGTGTCTGTTTTTTAGCTCAGATGATCTAGCAGGTATTTTACAAATGTTGATTGTACATCAGCTTTGTTAATACACTTTTACAGAGTAGTAAAATACATGTAGCCTCCATCCTAAAGGGTTTTTTGGTTCCAGTTTGGAAGAGAACACCTATACACATAAAACGTAATTGGCCTCATAGTCAGGGCAATGTAAGTTGGTGTCAGATTTATATTGCAGACAACAAAAGGGAAGAGTTACTGAGAATTGAGACACTTGAGAGAGTTCCATGGAGGAAGGGGACAACTTAAGGACCCTTTAGGAGCTCACAGTCTAGTTAGGAGAATTTGTAAGTAGATGAGAAATTAAAAGGATATATATCATCAGGTTAAATAACAGTTGAAAACACTAATAAAAGAAATAGTACTGTTCACAACACGTAGCAAAAAAAGATATGCAGACAGCCATCACTTTTTTTTTTTTTTTAAAGGTATTCAGAAAAAGAAAGCTGGCACATAATGACATGAGGCCAGAGTGGAAAGGGAAGGCTTTTAAAAATAAAAATCCCAGTAAGACCTCGCCTCTGGGTCAGCTATTCCTATAGGGAGAAAATGGCTTTAAACAATGCTGGTGTGACTCGTGCCTTTAAACCTGAACTGTTCACTTAGACAACTGCATTTGTACGTTCCACAGAGAAACACAGTATTTTAGTTCTCGCCTCAACTGCCCCACTGTGGAGGCAGCCTCTTGGGCTCTCCTTGTATCTGGAGGTATGTGCAGCCACTTCTGCAGTGGGCCTACTTGCCTCCCAGGATGCACCTCAGGGTTTGGACATTAACTCTTGAGAAGACCTGGGACATACATACCAAAGGAAGCAAAATGGCAAGCAAGAAGAAAAGCTATTTTTAGTTTTTTATTGGTTTGTGTAAATAAAGAGAACACCTATCCCATCACTGTTAGAAGTTTTGCTTCGGTTGATAATAGGGATTCTGATGCACTTTAATAATTTTGGTTTTCTCTGGATTTAAATAGCATCTAAGGGTCAATAACATTTTAGGCAGGTGTGCTATATTTTTATTTCTGATTCTCTAGAAGACTACATTATCATAGATAAGATGTCAGAGTCTATTGTAAGTCATTTAAAAAAGTCTATGCTCTTTATAAATTGAATCTAATATTCCTGTCACTTTATAGAGTGTATCTAATTATTCCCACCACCTAAATTACTGTGTTCAAAGTTTAAAAAAAAAGAAGTATTTTTAAGACCATGTACTTAGAACACTTTTCTATAGTTACCCAATATTATACATATAACCCTAATAAGACATTGTTTGCGTCAGTCGTCTGTTTCCTTTTCCTGCCAAGTTTTATCTGTGCTAATTGATTTAATTAATCATACCATCTAGCCATGTATAATGGAACAGGGAAATTAATATTTGTTACTGCATCCTGTGCCAGTTATTGTACTATAAACCCTGGTTGGTAGCACTATTTGTTCATGCCTCACAACTCTGAGATCTAAGTATTGTTATAAAGACACCGTAGAAAAGAGGACAAGATTACTCCTTCGGATTACATACATGGAAATAACAGAATCAGGATTTAAACTCAGGGCCACAGGTGCGCCAGCAATGACATTTCCTCACTGGCAGTGCTTCTCAAAGTGAGGTCTCTGGTCAAAAGCATCAGCATCACCTGGAAACTTGCTTTTAGAACAGCAAATTCTTGGGCTTTATCCCAGACCTACTGACTCAGAAACTGAGTAGGGCACCCAGCAATCTGTGTCTTAATAATCCCTTCAGGTGACTGATTCAGCTGAAGTTTAAGAATCACTTCTCAGTGCCAAAAATTGTCCTCATGTTCTCAGTTCAGAATTACCCAGAGAGCTTGTAAGAATTCTGATGCCGGCTGCACCTCGGCCAATTCAATAGGCGCTCTGGGTGTGGGAGTCAGGCACCATGGAATACAGTTTACCAGGTGATTCTGGTGTGCAGTGTCAGTAAAAAATGCGCAGTGGCATTTAAACCTAGACACCGGTTAAGTTACACACAGGCATTGCTCCAGCCAATAATGACGATTTCACTTGGGCCTTTTTAGAGCCCAGCTCTCCATGAGCTTCTGCCCCAAATATAGATGTGAAATAAGTGGAACATTGTTTGGCTTCTGATTTGCTAAGGACTGTCCAACCTGCAGCAAAATGTATTAGTGTTTTAGGTTGTGCATCTGTTACATCAAAATCAAACTGGAACACTGGAGCAAAAGGAACCAGAATGACTGTTGGATGAATCTGTCTCAGAGGTGAGCAAATTGAGGCTCAGGGAGGTGAGCTAATTTAACCCATGTCACAGACTTAGCTTGTTGCAGAGGTGCTCTTTCTGTCTCATCTTTATATCTTGAATGTATCCACTACATGAACATACACAAAACTCCTTTTTATCTCAGTCTGCTTCCATCTTCTCTCTTTGGGTCTTAAATAAAGACCAGAGGAACTGATTGACTACTTAAGGGTATTGCAAGCACCATGCATAATTGGGAGGTGCCACAGAATAACCTGAGAAAGATCTAATATCAAATTCAATTAAATGAGCTCTTCTGAGACTAATTCCAATAGTTCTAAACTAGAGAAGTATGTTTTTTTACATTAGACATCATTTTTCTTGTGTAAATAAGCAGGTTAAGATACAATCTCATGTGGAGCCAGTAAAGATTTTATTCTAGTCAACTTCAGTTGAAATTTATCTTTGTACAGATGAGGTTTTTCCCTTCGTTCAGCAAATGAGTGCATGCCGGGTGCTGAAGATACAAAGATAAGATGGTCACTCTAAGCTAAAATTTCATTATCGGAAAGTGGTGGAGTATTTGTTGGTGACGTTGATGTTAAAGTATTTCTCTAACACCACCTAGAAGCAGAAAATTGAATTATGAAGCTCTCTACCTCCCAGCTATAATAGGTTTAAAGGTGGTTATGATCTTGTGTAAGCCCCTTTGGCTGTTTCTCTTTTATCTGCAAATCTTTGAGACCAGCACTTATATTCAAAAGGGCAATTGTGGTAAAAAGGAAGACAGTATTTTAAGGAATTCTGTTCTGATCAGAACCAGGTTCTTAAGTGCCATAGACTCTTGCCTGATGTTGATATTTATATATGGGCTACAAAGCACTTAATCTGCTTACCTGATGCACTTGATGATGATAATATAATAACATATAAGAAAGCATTGCTGTGTCTAAGAAACCAAGTTACAGCAAACACTAGGTCTTGTTTCTAAACGTTATCCTTACTGTTCATGTTCTTCTTGCAGAGTGAAAAGGGAAAGGGAGAAGGCTGGGTAATGTTTTCAAATGCAAATCGATCATTAACAGAATTACTTACAAAAGAACTTTGTAGTTACTGTCATCATTAAATTTATTGACCAATCACAGGAAAATGGGATAATCGTTCATAGTTTGCAGATTGGCAAATGGAATCCCAAAGTTGAATTTGATTTTAATTCTGTATCTGCAGTGCTGATTTGATATAAATTTCTTATTACTGGATATATGTGCATTTTACCCCCAGGCCATATTAGTTCTTACAAGATTATTTACCTTATGAACTTTATTTTATTTTGCTTCCTTTTTACTTTGATCCTAATGCCACATTGCATGCCTGGATCTAAGTAGCAAATAGATACCCGATAGCAACTTGGAAGACACATGGGCATAAAGCTGTATCTTCTAGGAAATGTCACTACAGATTAAATATGTTAGTGAGGCCATGAAAATAGATAACTTCCTAAGCTTTGCTATTTGATACCAGATAGAGCAAATGAGATGATAATGTATCTGTACCCAGCTCAATGTTGGCATCCAATAAAAACTTGTTGCATTTGTCAGTGATCTTTGCAATTTTTTTCCCACCTGATTTTGAAGTTTGTTGAATTTTGTTTTATTTTTTTTTTTGCCGACTTCTTAGAGTAGCACCTTTGACAACAATAGAAAAAGGAAAGAAAAGTCTAAATGATCAATTTGAGGCTTAGCTTTGACTAAGGAGGTAAAGATAATGGCATTACCATGTACTACTATTAATTGGCTAACAACTGTTGGGCTCTTTTCAATATGTCAACTACTGTTCTAAGCATGTGTTCATTAGGCCTCACAACAACTGCTGTCATTACCCCCATTTTACAGATGAGGTGAGCAAGGCATGGAGAGATTAAGTACTTCACCCAAGTTATACACCTAGAACCTGCATACATAACCATGGCACTATACTGTCCCTATTATCCATGGTGCCAGGCACTACACTGGGGTGCTCTTTTGCATAACCCTAGTGTCAACAAATTCTCAGGACTATGCAATGCAGTACTGATAATTCCATTTTTATAGATGAGATAACTCAGGTTTAACGAGGTTAATTTGGTCATGATACATAGCTAGTTAGTTCCAGATCTGGGAATTTACTTAAAACCAATGAGGAGTTCATTTCTCACCATTCCAGAAAATTAAAGTTCAGTATACTGAATTACAGTTTAGTATACAGGCTAGCCCAGCTTTCCATTGTGGAATTGGCTGCACTAGGTACAATATAGCAGTCGTCGTACCATTCTGCATGTATACACAAAGTTTGAAGGCAGCTGCCAACCTTTAGTGTCTCACTTGTAACCCCTTCATCCCCCAAAGCCTTAAAAGATACACAGAATGCAGAAATGGGTTTGTGCCACAGGATGAAAAAGGACTTGTCAGAACTGATTATTGACCTCCTGTTGAAGTTACTCTGCATACAGCCTACTTTGATGTCATCATTGCTCCATCACACAGCTTAAGAGAAGTGCAAACATGGAGTCAAACCACTAGTTTATATCTGCAGTGTGTATAGAATGGTCATCTCCCTTGATGGGCAAAGAAAGTACACCACTTACCAATTATATAACAAGCCACTACAAAACTTAGTGACTTAAAACAACATTTTAATACATTTTTAAAAGAGTCTGTGGCCTGGCTGGGGTGGCTCAGTGGTTGAGCATCAACCTATGAACCAGGAGGTCATGGTTCGATTATTAGTCAGGGCACATGTCTGGGTTTCAGCCTCCATCCTTGGTAGGGGGCATGCAGGAGGCAGCTGATCAATGACTTGTTCTTGTCACTGATGTTTGTCTCTCCCTCCCTCTCTCTAAAGTCAATAAAAACATTTTTTTAAAAAGATCCTATGGGTTGCCTGAGTGTTTCTCCCTCTGACACCACTTGGTGCCACATGCAGCTGCGTTTATCTGATGGCAGAACAGGGGCAGGTAGTCCTGGATGGCCTGTCTTCCCCATCTGGAAGTTAGCACTGGCTATTGGCTATGGTGCCTTGGTTCTTCTCCACATTGCCTCTCGCCTTCCAATAGACTGGACTGGGCTCTTCACAGAATGGGTGGGGGTGGGGTGGTCTTAGGAACGTGTTTCAAGAAGGCAAGCCCCCATGTGGAAAGCGCCAATCAAGCCTTTGCATTCTTCACAGACCAAGCCATGGCCAAGCCCAGAGTCACTGTGAAAGGGGACCTAAACTCCACCCCTTGACGGGAGGTAGTGCAAAGAATTTGTGACCCTTTTTTAATCCACCACAGAAAGGAACTAGGATTTGAACAGCAAAGACCAGGAGTCAGCAAACTTTTTGGTAAAGGACCAGATAATAAATATTTTAGGCTTATAGGCCTTGGTTCTTTGCAGTTTTAAGGTGATAGAAACCATAGACTGTATATAAGCAAAAGTGTGGCTGTGTTCCAGTAGAACTGTATTTATGAAAACAACAGGCCCTGCCAGACTAGTTTGAGGACCGCTGACAAAGACTTGCAGGTTGATATGGACTTGTAGGAGTAAAATGGAGAGGAGAAAGCTCCCAAATGTTGGTTCCTTTTGAGTTCCTGATTGAAGAATATTGACACATTTCCTAGGACAGAGAGAGAGAGAGAGAGAGAGAGAGAGAAAATCTCTTACTCTCCAAGAAAGAGAAGCCAGAGACAGTCCAGAGATTTCCCCTGGTGTAATTGTGGAAATGAATTGAAGAATGACCATTGTCAGACTTGACTGAGCCCCCATCATGGCCAGAACACCACCCAAAATTCAAGGACTCATAAAAATACTAGTGATATTTTGTACTTACCAGGCACTTTGTAGTGGAAGTAACTTAATGCTTAAATAAACTTATTAGATTAAAATTATTCCCCCTTTCATTTTTAATATGTTTTTTATTGATTTTAGAGAGAAAGATAGGGAGAGGGAGAAAGAGAGAAACATCAGTGATGAGAGAGTCATTGATCAACAGCCTCCTGCACACCCCTTGCTGGGGATCAAGCCAAAACCTGGGCGTGTGCCCTGACCGGGAATCAAACCATGACCTCCTGGTTCATAGGTCTACGCTCAACCACTGAGCCATGCTTGCCCTATTTCCCTATTTTAAAGATGGAAAAATAGAACTT